ATTTATCGAAAAAATAAAGCAAACTCGTACTGCGTATGGTATACACGAGTATGCACATTTCAGCTCTTTAGCTTTTGTATCTTCTGAGTTCGACGCATTCGTATAGACGGACGATTAGACGGACAGGGCTATATCGACTCAGCTCGTCGTCCTTATCAAGAATATATGGGGTCTGCGATGATTCCTTCTGCTCGTTACATACTTTTTTCACAAAACCATTTTACCCTGATTTTCCATTTTCAATGGGTTCAGGGTATAAAATATACATATTTACTTTCCCCAAGGGTTCAGGGGACATTGTAGTTGAGCAGTCTCGATTAGAATTTCCTCATGAAATCAGAAATTTCCAACGTTCAGAGGACAACCTAGTCAACAGTCTTTACTCTTTCTTATTACTATTAGTTTAACATAATCTTTTAAAATTTTAATTATCTACTTGCAGAGTCTCGGCTAGTTAAATTTTCACAACTAATAAGATGAAAAGAAAGCTAAATCTTATGAACAAGTGATTGTGTTAAGTTATATTAAGTGTGCAGAAGTTCCACACGTAGGGAGGGAAATGGGTTCAAACACATCCAACGTTGGTTACCCAATGGCCGCAACTACTGAAATCGCAAATACCACCACTGAAAATGGAAACGCGTTTGCTGCGTCAAATCCTGGAAGTATGGGATCCACAAGCTCAAACGGGATTACTGAAAGCCCTGGCGCAAGTTTTTCATATAGCGGTGCGCATTACCACCGCGATCAAAGGCGAAAGCGAGTGACAGGTTTTGCGACGCTTAAGCGGAAATTTATACGTCGTCGACGATCATCAAAAGCCTGTGATCATGCGCGTGTCTTACGTGACTTTGTTTCTGAGTGGACGCCTCTTGAATTGGCAGCTCTCTGTGAGGAGTTCGAAGCATTGGCTGCATTAAGAGATTTATCGGTAATTGAATGTTTAATGTCGATAAAACTGAGCAGCACTAATTTTCGTTTTGTATTCAACAGGTACAAGCAGAATTAGCTCGTCCACCAGCAGCTACATATAAACAAGATCTGGCTGCTCTTTACGATTTAAATCTCTGTACTGATTGTGACCTTGTATTTCGTGGATCAATTTTTCCGGTGCATCGTTCTATATTATCCTCACGTTGTACATATTTTCGAGATCTGCTTTCAGGCTGTCCGGGATTTGGGGCACGCATATGTCTCGAACTTCCTACGTCACCTATTGATGTAAAGATATTTTCTATATTGCTACGTTATTTATATACGGGCGATCTTTGTGCACATGATCCGACAGTAAATATCAATTTATTGCGTCAACTAGGCGACGATTTTGGTACACCTAACCCCCTTGAACATGATCTTCGCTATTTATTAGAAACAGGTGATTATGCAGACGCAGCGCTCGTGTTCACAGCGGAAAGTGGAAACGATTACTTACGCCAAGAATCGACCAATTCTGAGTATGGCTTTCGGCCAAAACTAGAGCTTCCATGTCATAAAGCTATATTAAGTGCGCGTTCACCATTTTTCCGTAATCTAATTGCCCGCCGAACGCGTAACATTGACGAGTACGTAGAGCGCTCTATACACGTACCAACGCGCATTGTTCTTGATGAGACCGTAATACCAAAAAGATATGCGCGTGTTTTACTACACGCTATATATTTAGATACTGTTGATTTAGCTCTCATACTACGAGGTGCTGGAACGGGATGTTCGACTGGCTCCCTTGGTGAAGTACACGCATTGACTAATACTGGTCGAGTACGACCAACTACTCTTGAGGAAGCAATGGAGTTATACCAAATAGGCAGGTTTCTTGAGCTTGATATTTTAGCGCAGGGATGTGAGGATTTAATACTTGAGTGGTTGTCACTTGATACACTGTCAATGGTCTTAAAGTGGGGATGTCAACCACATGGCTCCGCTTGGGTTTTTCGTCAAGCATGCCAGTACTTGCGCGAAGAGTTTTCCGCTATTAGCTCTTCACCAGTGCTGAACCAATTAGATAAATCACAGTTGATACATGTATTACAAAGTAACTTCTTACAAGCATCCGAATTAGAAGTTCTACAAGCTGTACTAAAGTGGGGAGAACAAGAGCTTATCCGGCGCATGGAGGATCGTGAACCAAACCTTTTATCGCATACTGCCCACTCTGTAGCGAGGAAGGGTGTTAGAAAGCGGGACTTAAGTGATGTTGAGCTGCGCGAAATACTTGCCGAATTACTTCCATTGGTAAGAATGGATCATGTTTTACCGCCAAATAGTGAAGTTCTCTGTCAAGCTATACGCCGGGGCCTCGTTAGTACACCGCCATCACATATGATTGGGGACGACCGTGAAAACTTGCGAGCCAATGCTTGGATTCGAGGAGGTAAAAACCAAGGCCTTTTTGTACGACCCCGTCTTTTCATGCCGTACTTTGAAGAAGTAAAAGCCCTTTTAGAAGATCGAATGGCATCATCACACCACCAACTTGAGCTCATGCGTATGCGTAGATCTCGGCATTTTCCTGACATTCCAGATACCCTTTATATGGTCTCGCGCATAAACTCTTCTTCGAACAGCAGCTTTGCACCTGGCGTTACTTGCAGTATTAGTGGCGATAATAGCGAAAAAATCGATGCTATTGCTATTCCACCACCAGATAGCCATACACTTGCAGCGATGCGCAAGCGTGAGCATAAGCTCCGCCAATCGCCCATGTGCCAACGCGCATTACTTCTGCCACTTTCATCAAAACATGAAATCGACCGTCAAATTCGTCTTCGCGTCGTTAGAGAATTTAATCTACCAGATGAAGTGTCAGATCTGCTTGAAACTTCCATATTAACAAACCCTGGCGATGGAGACGACTGTGTCTCATCAACCATACAAGCGAGGGAATGTCTATTAGAAGATGAAGATCAAAGTCCGCCACCCTCCCCGGCAGCTACTGGTTCTATACGCCCTGCAGCTGTGTCTGCTTCATTTTTGTCGACTTCATCAATGGCCTCATCAGTATCTTCTGCGTGCGGAGCAGATGGTGTACATGAATGTTACAGTAGAAATATGACTTTCCCACGTCAGCACCCAAACAGCTTACTTGGTGTTAGTCTATTAACAGAGAACTCTAGCTCAGCCCTTCAGACAAGTTACGCTCAGCTACCGACATCAGCGTATCATCGTAACGATTTGCCAGCCTTAATTAAAGAGGGCGATTTTCGATATCCACATAGTAATGCTTTAAACATGGTCAGGAGTGGCGAGACAGGTGCTTGCGGCATAGACGTTGGCAACGGGCATCTGTCCGATATGATGCCCGATGTAGCCATGGCTACTGCATCATTAGGTCAACTACATCTCAGCACTGGTGGATTCGTGAGTAATGCCAGCAATTGTCCAATTGAAAGCAACAGTGATGTGTCAGAAAGCTTACAGCTTGATTTGGGAGATGGTCCAACTCCGCATGTCATCAGCAATGGAACTGGTCTGATAACTTTACGTGACTTACAGGTGAATTATTTTAAAATATTTGTATTGTTATTATATAATTGTATTTTTTTTAATAGCATCAGTTACCAGAAAATAATTTCCGCCACATGATTCAGCGGTCGAGCTCGCCATTTGACGTTCTACGACAGGGACAGCACTCGCCTACTCCACAGGTTCCTCCTTCAGACGCGTTAAATTCTGGGCCACCTAGGTTTTTATAGAGGTTGAAAATAGCTCCCGATAAGCAATTTTATTTTAGCACTCCATTCTGACTAAATACCCCGAAATTCGCATTTTAAATTTAAAATTGATATTTCAATAAATATAAGGTCATCTGAATACAATTTGTATGTAAGTAAGCGTCAACGTATAAATGCAAGAAATTAAAACTATACGCCCCATACATCATTAAGTTGGTTATGCTACACTGTCGATGTAAGCGGAGCGTATGTACAAAAGAGAAATTAACAATATTATACTAATATCTGTCGTAACTAAAAGTACACCTAGTTTTTTATTATAATCAATTAGATCACAGTTATATAATAAAGTATTTAAATAATATATTAATCAATCAAAGCATTCTTTAAATCATAAAAAAAACATATTTTTTACAGTTTTAGAGCTAAAAATTGAAAATTAGGGAATTAAATTGCTTTTAACCAATCGGGGACGTCGCAACCCGAAAGAACACCCCACTTCTTCCCTTCTGAGTGAAGAGTGAACCGTCAAAATCTAAGCGACTTGTGATGTTCATATGAAATGTTTCCGTTTTTATGATTGATACATACATCCATATACACAGACAATTACAGGCCCTTGCTACAGAAAATTCGAAATTAGCATATAAAAGTTTTGTGAAATGTATGTAACACGCAGAATGAATCGCAGAGCCCATAAAGTACACATGTATATTCTTGATCAGGGCGACAAGCTGAGTCGATATAAAGCAGTCAGTCCATCCGTCCGCATGAGAAGGTCTATCTCAGAAGATGTGAGAGGTAGAAAGCTGAAATTTTGCATATAGACTCGTGTATACCATACCACTAACCAAAGGACACATAGACGACAAACTTTTTCACTGCGTATTTGCTCGGCTCAGTGTCTTGATGGTCGAGCAAAGCACGTACGCTGCGAGCGCTCTAAAAAAATGGTCCAGTTTTTATATGAAGCACAGCTGTGTGTTAATTGTCTTACTCGCTCTTTCTCTACCTCACTCATTTCTCTCTCTCTATGGTCACTCAAATAATCCAACTCAGCAGTACACAAAAATTGAAAATTGTTCGCGACGATCCCAGCTCTTTCCTTTTGAGTGAGGATGTGCCGAAATCTTAAAAACTTTTATCACGCTCATACAAAATCAGCGTTTTCATGATTATTTCTAGGAAGGGTATGAAAGTTTTGAGGCGACGAGCATGCACACACAATTTCAGTCTATCGCTACATGTACATACATATGTATTTGCATTTGTGGCTTGAGTACGCAGCTCTTGCTGCCTGTGCAGATTGTAAAAAAAATTGTTTTACATGTCTCGTCTATGTGTTCTATGGTCAGTGACCATACGCAGTACGAATTCATCATATTTTTATGCCCTGAACCCATTGAAAATGGGAAATCAGGGTATAATGGTTTTGTTA